CTTGAGTTCTGAAGGACCTCCAAGCTTTCCTTGGCGCATGTCAGCTGCGTCTCCTGCTCCTGGATGGTGCATTTCGCCTGCGCCAGCTCCTCCAGCGCTCCAGTGAGCCTCTCCTTGGCCTCCTCCAGGAGACTCCTGGTTTCCGCGACCTCCATCACGAGGGCGTGGCTGTCGTACTGCACCTTTTCGAGGGCGGTGTACGAGGCCTGCAGGCTGAGTTCGGCCCCCTTCAGGTCCGCCTCCCGTTGCTGCAGCTGACTGACCGTCCGCTGAAGGTCAGCCTGCGTCGCCTCCTGCTCCTCCCGCGCTGACTGCAAGGCTTCATACGTGGCCTGAAGTTCAGCCTCCAAAGAAAGGTCACCGGACACAAAGGCAGTGTTGTGGGGTTCCTTTGGAGAACCGGGAAGCTCAGGAGGGAGCAAGGCAGTCTCCTGCGCTTCCTTCTTGCACTTGGGATTATCGACCTGCAGCGCCTCTTGTGGCGCCTCCTTCGGTGCTTCCTGTGGCTGAGGCGCGACTTCTGCGACGGGAATAGAAGAAGCATCATTCCTTGGGCGACTCAGCTCCGTCAGTTGCCTCACCAGGTCGTCGATCGTGTCCTCCTCGTCGGTGAGACACAGGTCGTGTTCCGACCCGCGCCGGGAGGGGGCGGAACTTCTCGCCATTTGTACCTGGAGCGACAAGTTTTCAGCGTCAGAATTCTGGAGAGCGACGCGCATGTCCTCAATCACCTCACGAAGGCACTGGAGTTCCTGCTGTTGTAAAAGCACCTGTCGCTTCAGGAGACAAGTCTCGGAATACGACGGCTGAGGAGAGATGTTGGAGTTGCGATCGACGTGTGCGGGCTGCCGCGAGGTGCAGCAGGCGGACGCCGCCGTCGGACACTCTGCCGGGGGCCTCTTGACGTCGCCCTCCAACTCCGAGTTTATTTCTGCGATAGACTTCGAAATCTTCTCGAGGATGTCATACCGCCGCTGAATGTGCACCACCGACGTTACGAGGCGCGGGTTGTAAGGGCGCCGAGACGCGAGCGGGGAGAGGGTCTCCGTCTGCGCCCCCTTCACGAAACGCTCGCACAGCCGGTCGTGAAATTCGCTGAAGTTGAGATGGATGGGACACACTTTATCGCCTGGCACTTCGTTGTTCAGCAAGGAATTGTCGAGGCTGCCATTCAGTGTCAGCTTCGACCCGAGACACTGACACCTTTGCTGCCCCTTCCTCGGCAACCCCTCGCTCTCAGCCAGCCCGAGGACCTGGCACAGGGCATCGAAGTCCTCTATACCCACCCGGCCCGACCCCGAGCGATCCAAGAACCGGAACACTTCTTCTATGTATTGGTCGATACCTAGAGCTAGCACGATCACTTCGTTCCTGGGAGATTCTGGCACTTCCAAGTTATAACTTAAGGCTGACTTTAACCACGAACCTCTAACAGATTCAGAGGTCTTCTCTTTGTTATAGTATCTCTTAATGGTCGAAGTATCGAACCTCAACTGTTTCTCGCTTTTCACTTCAACGTGTTCGTCCTCACGCATGTCACTGCCATCTCCCTGTACCCTCACTTCCCCCTCCAGTTCCGTCTCCCCCTCCACGCCCCCCCTCTCGCCCACGTCACTCGCACACGCAAGGCCCTGAGACCCGCGGGCCGCAGCAGCCCCGCAAAAGGCCTCCCCGTGGTTGCTGGCACTCACTCCGTGGGCCAACCCGCCATCCCCGGCCCTGGCACTGCTCTCGCCCGGCACCTGACCAGCGACACCGGAGCAATGGACGGGGAGGTTGACGTACCTGCCCAGGCGACCACCGCTCTTTTCCCTCGAGTCCTGCAGTCTGGCGGCAGCGCCATCGTCCACCAGCAACCTCAGTCGGTCCAGAGTTTTTTCGTTTTCTTTTTCCCCCGCGTACCTACTGTCGTAAAAGTCACTCCTGAAACTCGTATATGTCCCCCGCCGGATATCGCGCAAGTCCTCGGAGGTGTGCCAGTAATCCTCCGACGAGTGGAGGCTCAGTCGCTCCGCCTGGAGGAGGGAGCAAGGGCCACTGCCTTCCGTGGCGCAGGCTGTAACCTCCTTGGCCTTCGCCGCGTCCTTCGCCTTGGGCTGCTCCTTGTGGCGTGACCGCGCCCAGCCCAAGAAGGGCGAGCGCGGGGCCCGCTCGCTCTTGCCGTGGCGAGCCTCATCGCGGTTATCTGTTCTATTGTTCTCACATCTGGAGCGCGAACGAGATCGGGATTTCTCGGAACGAGAACGGGACCGAAAGGCCGCCTTCACGCCCGCGACCAACCCGCGAGGACCACCCATGCCCGCGCCTGCCGACCGCCCGCTATCCATAACTGCGCGATCCCTGTGGAAGAGAACAAAATGTTGATTATCAAATAATACCACACAATAGTTCTTAAATGCACGCAGCATGCCTTGCAACACACAAAACAATCCGCTCACACATAAAACTCCTTCATAAAACCTACATTCGGCAAAAATGAAACGCGTCTTGCGAAATATCCGGTGTATTCAGGCGCTCTGTTATTCCCAACTGCGTCCCATTTCTCAACCCTTGCCCCGAGAACTTGTCTTCCTCTCGAACACTAAGGATATATTGTTGGAATACTACACTGATGGCTTCTCAGGGGAGGAGCCAGTGCCCTCATCCGGTAGGGGTGATGCCGGGTCAAGTCAGGTCACTTGTTCGCCTTTGCCCTGAGGCGGGGGCGCGGGGGGTTGAGAATGGCCCTTAGTTGCCTCCGTGTCTGATGGGTTAATTACGAGCTGAGGACAGTGTCTCACGCTGGAGCTGTGGTGGAATGAAGTGTTCAGTTATCATTCTCTCTCTCTCTCTCTCTCTCTCTCTCTCTCTCTCTCTTTCTCTCTCTCTCTCTCTCTCTCTCTCTCTCTCTCTCTCTCTCTCTCTCTCTCTCCTTCCCCTCTCTCTCTCTCTCCTTCCCCTCTCTCTCTCTCCTTCCCCTCTCTCTCTCTCCTTCCCCTCTCTCTCTCTCCTTCCCCTCTCTCTCTCTCCTTCCCTTTTATCTCTCTCCTTCCCCTCTTCCTCCCTCCTCCCCCTCTCCCTCCCTCCTTCCTCTCTCCCTCTCTCCTTCCTCTCTCCCTCTCTCCTTCCCCTCTCCCTCTCTCCTTCCCCTCTCCCTCTCTCCTTCCCCTCTCCCTCCCTCCTTCCCCTCTCCCTCCCTCCTTCCCCTCTCCCTCCCTCCATCCCCCCCCCCTCTCTCTCTCTCTCTCTCTCTCTCTCTCTCTCTCTCTCTCTCTCTCTCTCTCTCTCTCTCTCTCTTACATCCTTTAACATGCACGCATAATAGTGGACCGTAAGACAAATTATATTCAGATATCATATCACTCATTGCAAATTGCCCCAACGCAATACACCACCTCCCCCCCTTTCGCCCGAACACCTGCAACATCTTGTGCAACGTCTTTGGATAGCAACCATTTGCCACAACATTGCAGTGTTTTGCAGAAGGAGCACATGTTAACGCAAATGCTGTCAACTGCAAGCCATAACACGATTCATCAAGAAGGTCAAACTATCTTGCAATGCATGGCGTGCAACGTGTAACCTTATATCTATTGCACGCGCGAAATTTTAATAACTCAGGATCGAATATTTTTTGTGTCTCAAGAGTAAATATAAACAAAGTCTTTTAGTGTTCTTGAGATTTTCATTATATTTTTTTCCCTGCCTTTGTTATTGCTTTCTCCTTGAGGTCTTATTTAAGAAAACTGATTTCTTTATTTTATTTTGACAAACGCATACTCTTGATAAATATGTAGATAATAACTTCCAAAAGTTTTTTTTTATTGATTTAGTTGTATGTTCATTAATTTACTTCAAGAAAAAAATACGCGGATTTTGTCATCCGATACACTATATTATGCATAAAAAAACACTGTTATGACTCGACAAAAAAGGGAAAAAGAAAAAACGAAAACAAAGATATAAGAAAAGGAAAAAAATAATAAATCCGAAAACAAAAACAAAACCGAAAAGAAGAAAAAAAGAAAGAAAAGAAAGAAAAAAAGGAAAAAGAAAAAGAAAAAGAAAAAACAAAATAAATAGAAAAAGAAAAAGAAAAGAAAAGAAAATAAATGAAAATAAGGAAAAAGCATCCGAGCGTGTTCCGCGAGGCCTTCGAACCTCTTCACGTGGATAAACTTACACCTCAGCCTCTATTACTTTCTTGTTTTCCTCCCCTGTTTATTTGTTTTCGATCTGGCCTTTTCCTTGCGGGCCGTAATGAATGGGAGTTTTGTTTCTCTATAGCGTGACTCCTTTAAAATATAGTTTATGCATGACAGACATACATACTATGAATTAATACATACATACATAATAAATACATACACGTACATATATATACGCGCGCGCATCCGTGTGCGTGTGTGCGCGTATCCGTGTGCGTGTGTGCGCATCCGTGTGCGTGTGTGTGCGCATCCGTGTGCGTGTGTGTGCGCATCCGTGTGCGTGTGTGTGTGTGTGCGTATCCGTGTGCGTGTGTGTGCGCATCCGTGTGCGTGTGTGTGCGCATCCGTGTGCGTGTGTGTGCGCATCTGTGTGCGTGTGTATCCGCATCCGTGTGCGTATGTGTGCGCATCCGTGTGCGTGTGTGTGCGCATCTGTGTGCGTGTGTATCCGCATCCGTGTGCGTGCGCATCCGTGTGCGTGTGTGTGCGCATCCGTGTGCGTGTGTGTGCGCATCTGTGTGCGTGTGTATCCGCATCCGTGTGCGTGTGTGACCAGACAGATATCAGATGAAAATACCACACCACTCCCATTCATTCCCCACAGCATCCCGGGTAGTAAGGCACCACGAGTATACAACAGGGTCCATAAAACAATATACAGGCCGACACACAGCGCCTTCCTAATCCGATTCCGTCGGTTACGACTTCCCTCAGCTGGGCCGTCCCAAGGGAGCACTTACGACGACCCCCAAAACAGACAGTTTTCCCGCGGTTAGGTCACGACTATCCTCATATAAGACGTTGAACTGATGTAGTGTGAGGGAAAAAAAATCAGAGGAGATGCCTCGGGTGTGTTTACTCTGTGCTGCCTTAATTGCCCATTACCGCCAAAGCGCCAGCAGGCAGTTGCGGAAACGGAGGGAGGGAAGAGGGGAGGAAGATGGCTAAAAACGGAGGAGATGCGGAGAAAGGTCTATTCCTTGTCTGGGCCAGGGGGAAGCAAATATTCTGCGGTTTGGGTTTATATATATATATATATATATATATATATATATATATATATATATATATATATATATATATATATATATATTGTGTGTGTGTGTGTGTGTGTGTGTGTGTGTGTGTGTGTGTGTGTGTGTGTGTGTGTGTGTGTGTGTGTGTGTGTGTGTGTGTGTGTAGACAGATAGATAGACAATTATATATTTATACATATATATACATATGCATTTCTTTCGTTCTTTCTTTCTTTCTCGCTCTCCCTCTCTCTTTATTCATCTATAATTAGGAAATAAAGTTTCTCAAAAGGCCACTTGATAAAACAATGATGTTTACACGATTCGAATTGTTTGCTTAAAATACTTTCAAAAAGCACATTATCATAAAGCACCGTCATGGCCACCGTCTGTGTAATAAGGGGGGGAGGGGAAGGGTTAGGATAGTCGTAAATGGTCTTCGCAGTCCCTTTAAAAGACGTTTGTCACGAAGCTCTCTCAAAATACAAATTGTAGCTAATACTTTCTTTCAAGTTCAATATTCGTAAAAGTTTCGTAAAATGCGTTTTGAATACCAGTAAACCGTATGCCACAATGTGTTCTAAAATACACACAAAATGTAAAACAGAGAGGTGTTTGTAATGTCTCTACTTAAGCATGTAGGCCTATATAGCAGACCGCACTGCCTCTAACATTTAAATCAAGTCGTTAACCATTATTAACAACACAAATACCTATAAAATGACAAGGAAAAATAGCCCTACGACACGGTGTCATTCAGCACTATCACTTGAGCGCTCAATAAACAGCTATAAATCCCCTACCCGCGTACATCCAGCTTGCTAATCCATCAGCTGTAATCTCCCAGCGCGCTCATTGGTGCTCTCGCCTCTCATACTTCCCTCGGTAAACTATGTGTGTTATCCTGAACTCTCGTGAATGCTAGAACGCGAGCCTCATTAGGGTGAAGTAAGCCTCTCTATCTTATAATTACCATTCGTCCGTCACCGATAACGATTAATGGAGACGTTTAGAGCCTCTGCAGAGATGTATTGCGATTAGAAAAGAGGGGGAGGGGCTTGGGGGGATTCTGCTCTTCCACTCTTTCACCTTGTGCGAACGTCTGTGAAAGTAGACCCGCGGACGAAAGGTTCCGGCAGGCCTATAGCCACGGCAGGGTACAGGGTAGGCGGGTCCCTCAGTGAGATCTCGTGTTATTGATGGCTTTACATGGCCCTCAAATCCACCGCCCTCTTACCTGACCGCTACGCCTCCTCTGCCCCGTTGTCTTTCTTGTTGCTGCGCCAGGTCGGTATTTTGTTTTCGAAGGTCTTTGCCTGTATGCTTTGATTTGTTCCGTTTTGAGTCTCTTGTGCGGAGCTGAAGGGCACCGTAAGGACTAAGTGTATTGCGAAATTCATGTCGAGGGAATCATTAGAAGGGGGGGGGGGGTAAGTCCTGAACGGTTAGGGTAACGAGGCACGGATTGATTGCCCATTTCTAATTTCTAATTTCTCGCATTTGTCAAGTTAGTCAAAGAGTTGACCCTTATTCATATCGCCATATGAATACTTTCACTCGGTATTAGCATCAATATTTCCATCAGAATTGCCTGGTAACTGCTCGTACATCCATTCTCTTCTCAAATATTTTCCGATTTCTTAGAACAAGTCAGGCCTGAATGATATGCAGAACACTGATCAAATGTACTGTTTGTTTATTCACCTCTTCAGTCCGGATGCTTTACCAAAAATGGAGCCAAGAAATGGGTGAAAATCTCTTTTGTTTTATCGAATATTCACGTACTCAGCCATCTGTTCGCCTGTCCACCACCTGTTTACCACGAAGGCGATAAGTGTTCTTACTGGACTCTCCTCCGACGGGTGTTTGCGGCCATGACTTGTCACAGTAGGACGCACAAGGATCAATCCATCAATAACTCCCGTGTTTGAGTAAGTCCCTGGCCTCTCCAACGCGTGCGAAGGAGAATACTCAACTTCATCCCCCCCCCTCCCCCTTCTTCCTCGACTCCAGCTTCACCTCCCCTTCCCCCTCCCTTCCCCTCTCCCCGACTCCTACTTCATCCTCTCCCTCCCCCTCCTTCCTCGACTCCAGCCCCATCCCCCCTTCCCCCTCCCTTCCCCTCTCCCCGACTCCT